AGGGGGGGGGGGGGGGGTACTCATAGTCAGTCGTGCATGCCGTAGTCGTTAGACCATTGACCTCGCATCCCTACAAAGCCGGACGGAGCACGCCGGGTTCTCACCGGACCAGGCTCTCACATCACCAAGCGCGAAGCGCCGTGAGGTATTTGGCGAGTCGCATGGAGGGTGCGCTGCATCTTTACTTTCTTCCTTGCATACGGATGACATCTATTAGCTGCAAATGACTTAATTTTATTTCTGGTGTTTTCACTTCCTGAGACGGTTATGAGCACTGCTATGCCTGTGTAACTGCCTCGAGGAGGGTGTTTGACGAATATAACACAACGTGAACACAACGTGGTGCGACCATCCCGTTTGCGCGGAGTGAGCGTTCTCGGCTCCGCACAACATATTACATCTAGTCGACCATCATTATGGGGGGGCGGGGCGGGGCGTACTCTTATGTTTTGCATGCCTTAGCGGTTAGACCATTGACCACGCGTCCTCGAGAGGACGGAGCATTGTTCCCACAGGACCGATCACCGATGGCCAATCGTTCCTTCCTAGTTTGCCAAAGGTGGCTCAAAAATGTCTTCCCCAGTCTGTCTATCCTAACGATATCCCTTCCCGCCTTTTCAAACCACTTCCTACTCCCCAGTACCAGTACAGCTACCGTCCTCTCCTCTCTATTCCATGCCTCAAACATCTCCCTGTACGTCCCTTGCATTTTTCCCAGCTCAGTCATGTACACTTCCCTCTCCTCTTCGTACCACGAACATTCCGCGACTTCATGAACACGGTCTTCGCATTCAAAGCCGCAATCACATTTGAACTTATCGTCTTCGTCGTCTACCGTCCTATGTCTTCGTCGACGTTCGCGAAGGCCTATGTCCCCGGTCCTGAATTTGACCTTAAGCTTTGTCCCTGCATCCATTGGCCCATGTAGGTAATCCTTGAACCCTATTTCTTCTTTCAGCATTCCGTACACTTCTAGACCCTCCTTACCCTTGGATTCTTTCCTTAGATTCTGTTCTTCTCTCTCGACACAAGCAACAGATATCTTCTCCTTGAACCCCTGTAGACCCTCCGTTTCCAGCGTTCATCTTCGATGTCTAACCCCTTCCATACGTCCTCTACAACCTTGACCCATTCCGTGGGTTGTCTACCCCTCTTTTTGTTTGCCCACTTCGCCTCCCATACTATTCTCGGCAACCTCTCCTCTCCCATCCCGCACATGCGATACTGCCATGTCAGCTTCCTTGCGTCTCTTCCCGACCGTAGGGATTGGATCCCCAATTCTGCCCTTACGGCTGCATTACTTGTGCGCTTGGAGCATCCTAGGATGATTTTCGCTGCTTTCATCTGCGCCGCCTTGAGTTCTTTCACTACCTTCTTATTTCCTTCCCATACTTCTCCGGCGTACTCTAGCGGCGGTACGATTACGCTCTTCAAAACCGCCAATTTGATGCGTGTATCGAGGTGCCGGTTTGCGAGTATTGGGTGCAGCTTCCCAGCTCGTGCTTTGCCCTTTTCCGCTACCTTGGACATGTGTGCATTCCACGAGCAGTCGTTTGCGATCTCTACTCCGAGGTATGTGTACTGGTCCACTACTGCAATCTCCTCGATCCCCCACTTCCATCTATATTCTACTGGTTCCGCCCTGCCCTCGTTGCACACCATGACGGCACTCTTCTTAACGTTGGCCGAAAATCTCCATTTATCAGTAAACTTCTTCGCCGCGTCAATTTGGAGTTGCAGTCCCTCAGGGGTGTCCGACATACCAACAAAATCATCCGCAAACAGCATTCCTGACACCGAAGTTTCCGTGTCCCCCTACTTTTACTCCCTTCCGGACTGCCTCTACGACTTCCAACAGATCGTTGATGAACACCTGGGGGGGGGGGGG